TCCCTCTCCCTCTCCCTCTCCCTCCCTCCCTCCTTCCCTCCCTCTCCCTTTCCCTTTCCCTCTCCCTCTTCCTCTCCATTTCCCTCTCCCTCTTCCCTCTCTTTCCATCCCTCCCTCTTTCGCCCCACTCTCTTTCTTACCATCTCTCTCTTTCGCCTCTCTTCACTTCTGCCAGTGTGGAGCAGCTGCACTTGTCTGCATGACGCAATCAACTCTCATCACCTGCATCAATGATCGGAAGAGTTGTATTGTCACGCCATATCAGAGAGAGTGTGTCTGTGTGTGTCTGTGTGTGTCTGTGTCTGTATGTGTGTCTGTGTCTGTGTGTGTGTGTGTGTCTGTATGTGTGTCTGTCTCTGTATGCGGGCGCTTGTGTCCGTTCATGTGCGTGTTTCTACTCATTTTCATCCGATTATTTGTAATATTATCGCATCAACTGCACGAGGTTTGCATGACTCTACTTATCAGATTCCCCCTCGCTTCCGAAGTGACTTGAGTTATCGTCCCATCAGCTGGCGTATCACCTCGCGTCGACTAAAGCACTGAGTCTCTGTCTCGGTCACGGCGCCTTATCTGAATCGGTCGGCGGACGAAATCTACTTTGACTTGTTGGGGTTGAGGTGGGGGATGGGGATGGGGGAGGGGTGATTGGAGGCGTCGACAGTTGGCTGAGAGATTGGAAAGGAGATTAGGAGGAGAAGAGGCAGATTGGGGAGGAGTGGAGGATGGAGGGTGTGGTGGTGGTGGGGGGGGGAGTANGAAGGAAAAGAGAGAGGAAAGGAGAAGGGAGAAAAGGAAAAGAAGGAGAAAAGAAAAAGAAGAGAGAGGAGAAGGGAAGGAAGGTATAAGAAGAAAGGAAAGAAAAAGAAAAAGGGAAGAAGGAAAGAGATGAGTGAAAAGTAAATGGTAAAAAGGATATAGGGATTAGAGTAAAGAAGGTATAGAAAAAGAGGGGGAGAAAGAAGAAAATAGAAAATGATCAACTCAAGAGAGAAGATTAGATTAGATAGATAGATATGTAGATAAGATAGATAGAATAGGATAGATTAGATAGATTAGATTAGATAGAGAGAGGAGGAGAAGAAGATGAGAGAGGTAGAGAGAGAAGGAGGAGAAGAGAGAAGGAGAGAGAAGAAGAGAGAGAGAGAGAGGAGAGAGAGAGAGAAGAGAAAGGAAAAGAAAGAAGAAAGAAGAGGAAAGAGAGAAAGAAGAAAAAGAAAGGGAGAGAGAGGAGAGAAAGGAGAGAGGAGAGAGATTAGAAGAGAGGAGAGAGAGAGAGAGAGAGAGAGAGAGAGAGAGTAAGAGAGGAGAAGAGAGAGAGAGAGGAGAGAGAGGAAGAGAGAGAGAGAAGAAAGAGAAGAGAAGGAGAGAGAGGAGAAAGAGAGAGAGAAGGAGAGAGAGAGAGAGAGAGAGAGAGAAGAGAGAGAGAGAGAGAAGAGGAAAGGAGAGAGAGAGAAAAGAAAGAGAGAAGGAGAAAAGAGAAAAAAGAGAGAAGGAAGAGAAAGAGTTAAAGAGAGAGAGAGAAGAGAGAGAGAGAGAGAGAGAGAGAGAAGAGAGAGAGAGAGAGAGAGAGGAGAGAGAGAGAGAGAAAGAGAGAGAGAGAGAGGAGAGAGAGAGAGAGAGAGAGAGAGAAAGAGAGAGAGAGAGAGAGAGGAGAGAGAGAGAGAGAGAGAGAGAGAGAGAGAGAGAGAGAGAGAGAGAGAGGAGAGAGAAGAGAGAGAGAGAGAAGAGAGAGAGAGAGAGAGAGAGAGAGAGAGAGAGAGAGAGAGAGAGAGAGAGAAGAGAGAGAGAGAGGAGAGAGAGAGAGAGAGA